GCCGGGCGCCAGCCGCCAGCGCCAGCCTACCGCCGGGCCAGGCCTCCGCGCGCCTGCGCCGCCCAGGGGGCGGGGCCTGGTGGGTTGGGCCCCGCCTTCTTAAAGGACCCGGCCTGTTCCTGGGCGCCGTTTCTCACCGTTTTTGCTCTCCGCCCCAGCTCAGCTGGTTGCATCTCCCGTAGCCTGGCTGACACCTTCTTGTGGGACCAAAGGGAGAAGTACGGCAGAAAGTTGGGAGGCCCCATGGAGGAACGCTGGAATGAGACTGCAGTTCTAAGTAGCTAGCAGTTTGGCTACAGCTGATTTAGCTTGTGCGTGTGAAATGTCATTTTGCCTTAGCCTCAGTTGCTTGGCTCTAAAATGAGAATGGAGCAGGCCTGGTGGAGCATCCCTATAATCTCAGCACTCAGGAGGCTGAGAGAGGAGGACGGCCACCAGCTCTAAGCCAGCCTGGGCTACAGAGCAAGACCCTGGTCAGACAGCCAACAAAAATATAGAATGAGGAGGCCGAGTTGGAACGATTCCCAGGGTGAGGGTGAAGGCTAGTCCTCCTGTCCGCAGCTACCCTGGGGCTAGGCCCCTGGGCCATCTGCCGCCTTTTCCTGAGGCCCAGCAAAGACTCCTAAAGGAGTTTATCTCAAGCCTGTGACACTTCCCACTGAGATCTTGGGCAGAAACAGCCACAGCAAAGGGGCCTGCTCCCTGTGGCCGCAGACCCCCAGGAGACCACGCAGCGTCCAGTTCCCAGTGCCAGCGCCAACCCCTGTGCTGCCTGCAGGCAGGTATCAAGATGGAGGCAGCCCCGGTTGCGCCACTCAGTGTCCCCCAGGTCCAGGACGCTCAGCCCTGTGACTGTCTCCACCTCATCTATAAAGTGACTATGGTAATAAAACGACTCTGGAATGGAAGGTCAGCAGGGAACTGGGCAGAGTTTCTCATGGCTGCTATTTACAAGTTGTCCTTTGACCTTCCTTTGGAGGCATTACACCTTAAAAATGTTAACTGCTAAAACTTTCTTTATGGGGCCAGGGAGATGGCTCAGGGGAATAAGCGCTTGCCTGGCAAGCACAAGGGCCTGAGGTCAATCCCTGGTTCCGCAAAAATAATAATAAAATAAATAAATAAATAAAACTTTCTTTAGATTGCCAAAACCCAAAACATCTAGTGACCCTAAAACAACATCTGAGTGCGGCATGCCCCTCCTTATTCTAATCTTGTCATCCGTGAACACAAAACATATCAATTGTTTTGCGGTTTAATCTGCCTAAAGAATTCCAGGAACTGGCTGAAGGAGATCAAGGTCAATCAAATGTTCCAGCCAGGGGCAGAAAAGAGACACAGCCCCGGATGAGGAAGATACCCAGGATGCAGCTTTCCTGCCTGTTGTCTCACGGCCCCTCTCCTCCCATCCTATGGAACCCTTCTGTAGACTCCAGTTCCCCCAAATCGTCTTTTATTTGGGAGACATAGCTCACTCCCTCCCACCACTGCTGTATCCTCTGGGGGTCAGCCTTTCTTTCCAATCAGATCTTGTTTCCTAAAAACTGGTTTTTGAAAGGTGGGCAGATGGTCTCGTGTTCTTTCTCTCAAGTTGGCCAATGTTGTACACCAAGGCCACAGTCAGCGGGCAGCATGCTACTGGAACAGGATGCATTCTAGGCCCTTCCCCGGGGCCTGAGTGGCTTGGGTGTGGTCCTTGCTCTATGAGGAAAGCAGGCGCAGACCTTTGCTCTGCCTCAGCCAGGGACTTCCTCTGTTTTGGTTTGAGGCTATGTTCCCCCAGGGCTCACGCACTGCGGTGGGCTTTTGGAAGGTTCTTGTATTGTGGGGGCTGATAGTAGATTTGCTATTAGGAGACAGTTCCGGGCACAGCCTGGAAAGGTTTACCTCTTCTCTCTCTGCTTCCAGTTGGCCATGACTGGAGCAGCTTTTCCTCCACTAGGGCCCTAGAGCCAACTGATTACCTTTCTACCTTTAAACTGTGGGGCTCTGGTGTTGTCTGAGCAATGAGAAAGTTGGGAGTTCCACCATGTGGGGAGAACCCAACAGAGAGATAATTTCCCCTCCTATCTCCTGTTATAGAATTCCATGGTAACACTTGCTGAGGGCTGGGAAGCCCAGGCTAGAGCCCTGCATCTGCCCTCCCAGCCACAGCAGCCCAGAAGGGTGTACATTATCCTGACTTTACAGGTGCCAGGCTGAGGCTGTCCAAGGCTAAGGGACTTGTTCAGTACCACACAGCCGGCCATCGCAAAGCCAGAAGTCAAATCCAGTTCTCTGAGCCTGTCCTCTGTACCCAGACCTGCTGCTACCGTGCAACTGAGCAACACCAGCCCTGGAGCCAGTGGTGGAAGCATCAGGGCCAGCTAGATCTTAGTGGCCAGTAGATGTGATACAGGGACGTGAAACTGCTAACCTGGCCTGGATGAGTTCGTGTTCTCTAAAACCAAAGGATGAATTTCAGGAACAAACACAGGTTGAGGGTAAAACTTTATTGGAAAGGAAAGCTTCTGTCGGAGAGGGACAGAAGAGGGGCCCGAGTGGGTTGCCCAGGAAGCTGTTTCTTTCAGAGACTTTTATAGTGTAAAACCACGAGGGGCTGAGGTAGATACAAAAGGGTCTCCCTTAGGCGGATGCAGGGTGGGACTAAACTATGGTCAACAAGTAGGATTACAAGCACCATTACTCAGGTAAAACTGATTAGGCCCAAGACCAAATGGGGTAGCGAGTCATGTAGCAAGCAGGCATAAATGTAAAATGGGACCTTATCAGGAGGCCTTCAGATGAGGATTCTTCCCAACTAATGAGCAATCCTGGAGGCCAACGTTAGGGAGGTCAGCGTTTGTTTGATCTTTAGGTCTGGCTCACACCAGGAGCATCTCCCCCAGTTGCAAGGTGTCTGGTCTTTGTCATCTCCTTCGAGGGCCTGACCCTGTCTAACTGCCTACAATATTTCTATCTAACTCAGGCTGCCTGTAACAGATGCAAGAGCCCTTTTGGAGCAAGATTCCCTGCCAGTGGGCAATGTAAAATAACAAGTCAGCTTTCAGAGAAATCATACCCTGGTCAAGTATGAGTAACCATGGTCCACGAAACAGATTCCTGTTTTGCTGAATGCCATGTTCTACTGGGGAAGAGACTACTTGAACTGTTACAGATACAGGAAGTCTTTTTTTTTTTTTTTTTACATTTTTTTTTTTAAATTTTATTTGTTTATTTATTTATTTTGTGTGTGTGTGTGGCCAGCTCAGCCCACCAGCGGGCGGGGCTGGCTGGCATGTGGTGCTGGGGGATTGAACCGCGGTCCCTGTGCTTTGCTTAGCTTAGCTTGTTCTAAGTAGGTGCTTTAGACCACTGAGCCATCTCACCAGTCCTTTTTACATTTATTTAGTGTGTGTGTGTGTGTGTGTGTGTGTGTGTGGCCAGCTCAGCCCACCAGGGGGCGGGACTGGCTGGCATGTGGTACTGGGGGATCGAACTGCAGTCCCTGTGCTTTTGCCAAGCTTGTTCTAAGTAGGTGCTTTAGACCACTGAGCCATCTCTCCAGGCCGATACAGGAAGTCTTAACATATTTATCTATTATACTACTGGGAGTTTCAGGTATGTAGGCTACAGAAGTGAGGAAATCTCTTCTATAGGTTTCATATTTTTTGGGGGGATGGTACTGGGGCTCAAACCCAGGGATTATGTACTGAGCTACATCCCAAGACATTTTCATTTTTTATTTTGAGATAGGGTCTCACTAAGTCACTAAGATGCCCAGACTGGGCTCATCCCTGGGATACTTTCTGCTTCAGCCTGCGCAGTGCTGGGATTACAGGCATACGCTGTCATGGCCTGCTCTTCAGCAAAGAGTTTCATCAAGTAGTAGCATGAATATTAGGTCAGATGGAGGAGTTGATAGCAAGTGGCTACTCCAAGGGACCAGAGAGAGCCACAGCCAGCTTTGCCTATTGACCCACAGTATTCTATCGCTCTAGTCACCATGGACTATAGACTGGCTTCTTCAAAGAAGTTCGGCTCACACTGTAAATCAAGCTCCAGGGCCGGGGAGATGGCTCAGTGGAATAAGCGCTTCCCTGGCAAGCGCAAGGGCCGGAGTTCAATCCCTGGTTCCACCAAACAAACAAACAAAAAAAGGGACTGTGAGATGTGTACTTGGCTGATTACTTGCAGTTTGTAAATCAAACTCCAGATTAAACAAACCAAGAGGTCAAACACTCCGTCCTGTTCAGTCTGGCCTGATGATTCCTTTTCTTTTCCCTTCAACATTTATAGACTTTTTTATTTTAAAGAAAAAAATATTCCAAAAC